AAACTGGTTACGTAATTTCATGCAAAAAATATCATGGCAAAAAAATTCACATGATCATATGAAATGTCGGATAAGTAGAACTTATAATGATGAAGTTATTTTTTTTAGTCTTAAAATTTAATATTTAGTTGGTTATAACTTGTGACGTAGTGATCAAAATCAAGTACCATTCAACTCGTCTCATTGAGATGAATTGAATGGTACCAAAATAGTTCGATTCTGATCACTAGATCATTATATATCATATGTGTGTCATAATTGGTACACATATAATAATTTGTTGATTTTTTAGCTTTTATTATAATTTGTAATATCGTGTGATATGTCAATGTCCAACCGAAATTTTTATTGGACATAGTCTAAATGCCAACACTGGAATTGAACGATTTTGGTATCATTCGATTCATCTCGATGTGACGAATCGAATGATAACAAAATCGATTCTGATCACTAGATCACGTGATAACAGCTATAAAAGTTACCTGCGTCATAATACTCCTTTTACCTTATATATATTTGTCCAAAACTAGTTTTGGTTTTGGACATGGTGTCCAAAAACCAAAACTGTCCAATTTCCCAACACTGCAATAACTTACCTGGAAAAATATACTTTCTAATAAAGTCAACTTCTTTACAATACCTATCGTACCTAGTCTCTGGCATTGTAATGACTTGAAATACACCAATACCGCCCTTCTCTTTTAAGAATTTATCACAACACTCAAAATATGTTGTTAAATACTCAGGCCCAACAGCTTCAATCATCTCTATACTTATAATTTTATCATATTGATGTGATGCTGGCAAATTACGATAATCACAAAGTAGTACATCAATGCTCGAAGATAAGCCAGCTTCTGCAATGCGTTTTTCAGCCAAGTTTTTTTGCTCAATTGAAAGAGTGAGAGTTGTTACTCGACAGCCAGTTAATTTTACGGCCTAAATGATTAACATAAGTAGGAAATAATAAAAAGAAAGTATTAATATAAGGTGAAAGGGGTAATTTTGAGAATTGTGATATCTCTGGATCCAGTGATCAGATTGGATGAAACTTGTACCATTCGATTTATCGCGATGAGAGAATCGAATGGTATACATTTCATCCGATTCTGATCACCGGATCCAGAGATATTAATGTTATAATACCCCGATCACTATATCAAGATCACGGGAGTATTAATTAATAATACCCTGACCGTATGTGAATAAGCGGAAACGGAGTTTCCGCTAATCCCCAACGGATCAGGATATTATTATTACATATATTTTTTAATATACTGTATATGTTTTTTTACAAGCGTTAAATTGTTTTTTTTTCTGATTTTGCAATCCAAATCAAACGACTTTCATCTCAAACGATTCCTCTCATCGAGAGGAGCCGATTGGATAAGAATCAAAATAACAGAGTCCCGAAATATTCATGTTTAATCATTAAAGTATATAGAAAATTGTAATATAGGAGGTATTTGTGACGAATCGTGATGACAGCGGAAAATATTCTGAGATTTTAAATTCCCTATTGATCCGAAATCTCTAAGATTCTCTAAGAATCGAAAAACATGATTAGAATCAAATGATTTTGATATCGTTCGATTCAGCTCAATGAGACGAATCAAAGGATACCAAAACATTTAATTTCGATCAATAGATCATGTGATATGATCAAAATATTATCAATTCGCCAAATTACCCTTCTACCTTACAATCAAATTGACAAACTATGCGTAAAATTTACATACTTCAATGGCCAGAGAACCCCATCCACTTCCAATTTCCAGCAAATGATCATCTTTGCAAATCTTTGCCTTCTTAATTATCATTCTTAACTTATGATATTGAGCGTCTTCCAAAGTTTCATTCTCATTTTCAAAAACAGCACTCGAATAAGTCATATCGCTACTAAGAAAACTAGCAAACATCTCATTTGAAATATCATAATGAGCAGAGATGTTATTTATTGCATTTGAAATTGTGTTTGCAAACCGTGAATTCATTATATAATTAATTGTGTTAAATATATAAGAGGGAACACTTGATAAATCATCAAGGTGAGAACGGTTTGCCACAAAAATCTATAATAGATAATAGGATAATAGATTATTAGGAGCAATTTAAACATTTATTGAGATAACTAACATTTGACGCGTACTTTGATTAGTGTTGATAGATCATCACAAGTCACATCGCCAATCATATATGCTTCGGCAAAACCCTATTAATCATTAAGAGAACAAAATAATGAACAACATTCGTTTGACATTTGATGAAAAAGGAAGTCTTTTGAAGCGTGATCTAAATAAGGAAGTTTGCTCAAATATGAACCGATTGTTTGGGTCTCCCCACAGAATGCTCATTCCGATATAATCTCACCCGTCCCGTAATTATATATGGTCATGTCCGATTATACGTGTTACCACGTGACGCGAATGTAACACATTCAGTTTACAAATCCGAATATGTATGTAATATATCTGATAGCCAAATTGAAAGACTTACTAGATCACCCAAGAGTAGCAATCGCACCCAAAAAGAATCATTGATGATTTTGATATTAACTCGTAATGTTGAATCTTTTGGACCGAACTCGTAGATACAATCTTTACTTAAAACGCGAAGATAACCAAAGTCGATTTTGGACATCAGGGACAAGATAGTATTTCGTGCTGCACGATCGATAGTAATTTTAAAAGATGAACGATTGAAAATCATAATAATAATAACGAATAGACCTCCGCATTGGCTTGGGTTACCCATGAGCAGGGATGGTAAATGACCCAAATGACTATTTAACATAATTAATATTCTAATACCTTTCAACCAATCAGAATTGGCCGCCAAACAAAATGAAAAATCGTAGCTATATATTGGATTTACTGTCAATTAATATTTATGCCTTCAGTAAAGTTGTTCGAAATATTAAATTGCATATGACTTGAAATTTTCATGTAAATTAATAACTTTTTATTAATTTCCTTTCGTATTTTATGTTTATGAAAACTTTTTAATTTTTTCGCATAAACGTAATATGCGAAAAGTGAATTAATAAAATGTTATTGAATTTACATGAAAATTTATCCCGAACAACTTTACCTAAGAATAAATATTCATTTACTTAGTAAAATTTTGACTTTAATATATAGCTACGATTATCAATTAGAAAAATAATAAAGTTCGATAGCTTTTTATTGAGATAAAATTATTTTATATGCAAAAAATGACCTGATCATTATTTGGTCATTTAAATTTTGATCAAATGACCAGGTCATTTAACACCTCTGCCCATGAGTACCTGCGGGTAGGCACACAAGAGACCAAGAGACGAGTCCTAAGGTTAGGGTAAGGGTAAGAACTTGAAAGTTGTACCATTACACATATGGATAGGGTTAAGGTACTGCTACTACCCGTCCCAGTGAATACCGTGGATAAGTCCACAATAGCCGGGCTAGAGCATCGATTTCCCTCTAGGGTAAGATTAAGTGAGCTCTTACACAAACGGGTAGGATTAGGGTAATGCTACTACCCGGCCATGCGGAAGCCTAATAACGGATTAATAATAACAGGAATAATAATTACCAAAGTGAAGCAATGGCTCCCATGACCTAGAAATAATTCTCTCTTTCACATATTGAAAATAAGAGTCAACGTTCGCAATAGCTTTACATGTTTGGCTGCGAATAGGCTTCTTTATGTTATATACAAAAAGAATCGATAAAGTAATACAAAAACTTGGTATTAACAAGTTTGTAGTTAATGTTACAAAGAATGTATTCAACATGAAGCTGTTTGATATATTTTTAAAAGCCGGTACTATCAAAAGTATTTTTAGAAGATTGGGTTTGTAATGGGATAAGAGAGAAATTAATACAAGAAATTGATGGGGTTATATATATATGCGTTTGAGGAATTCGGGAAAAAAATTTGAAATTATAATATATAGAATTTAGGAAAAATTTTATATGGATTTCATTTATATCGATATAGATTGTGACAAATTTATAAAATCGTAATAAGGAAAGGGTGCTACCATCTTCGATGCCTTTCCTGACAATTCGCCCCAATAGCATTTATGTTAAAGTTTGTCTCACAGTTGGTAATTATAGTTGGTAGAAATTATTCACTCTCACATAACCATTGGCGGAAAATAACCTACGCAATTATTACATAGCAAAAAATAACGGATTTTTGGGTATAGTACAAGTCTAAAACACTGATCGTGCTCAAAATCTTGCTTTTATTTATTTATTTATTATATTGATTTATTATGATGCATGCATATATATTTTTTTTTCATAGTTAGAGTGCTGAAGTAGATCTCTTAAAGAGGAATGATCATCTATCTGTAATTGTTTCATTTTCTGATTTAGACTTTAAAGGAAGTTAAGACCTAGATCTCATAGATGAATCTCGGAAATGTGCATCATTTTTGGGTAGCGCAGAAACAAGAAATGATATTTAGTGCACAATATTATGTTTCGCCTTCCCAATATCCATTATTATTCCCATGTCGGGTTATAGCATTTTTAGAAAAGTAAAATTTTTGATATATGGCCTAACCACTTATAGATGCTTTTGTTAATTGACTTTTATTAATTGCTTATAACTGCTTATAACCACTGATGATATATTCTCAAACTATATCGATACGACTCTATTTTCTATATCGATGATGAGTTATACGCAGATCATTGTGCTTTGCAAGATCGACTGATCATCCACAAAAATTATCAAAATTGCACATTAGTCTATTAGAAAGCGATCTCAATCAATGCTTTCTTCTGTTTGGCAAATCGCTAATCAGCAACAATGGATTGACTGAAGAGTCGAAGAGGACGCAGTAAAAACCATAAAAATCGCTTTACATACTGGCTCTCGTTATTAAATGGTTCATTAAAATAAATTTGATCATTTTTCATATAAATTTCATTATTTGAAATAAAGATTCTGGAGTATGAATTTTGCATTATCTAATAATTTTAATGGAAAGAAATTGTTTCAGTTGACTGGTTTTATACATACAATGTTAAGAATGATTAATTTTTTCAGAGATTAAAATAAATCCCAGAGTATATAAAGAAAATCAGCTATTAAATCGGTTTAGACACCATAATCAAGAAAATCTGAATTCACATCTTTGTCATATAATATTTCAGAATATCTGCGAATATTCGGTCCAATTCTCACGATAACTATCTCGTTATTGACAGCATCCACTATTTCCATGTCACCAAGACCATCCTTTTTTCATGAATTCTTTATTCGTCTTCCCACCTATTGATTCCGAATATCCGAACCTTATGTAATTGTGGTAATTTAGCTATAAGCACAACCAATAAAAACGTGAAATTAATCAAAAATGTGAACGCATCATAGTGTGTGTAATGTGTACTAAGTAGGAACCTGTGAATAATATAAAATTCAATGAGATTTATCCTTAGGTGTATTGCTGTTAGTGGTCTGGATTTTATCGTAAAATCTCAGAATTGTTGCTTACATACAATCCAATTGGAACGGCGGTTAAATACTTTTTAGCTGGTGTAAACTGCGCTCCATTATCGATCTGCTCCCATAAGGTCAGGCCATCGTAAGCTCCGGAATTAAAGTCAAATGGAACTCCTTTGACCCAATGGAACATTACAAAACTTCCCTAATTAATCAAATGATTCGCAAAAAAAAAAAAAAAAAAAAAAAATGAAAAAAAATGAAAAAGAAAATAAATATACATATTATATATATATATACATATATAATAAATAAATAGATTCTATTTAATTTCTATCTCCATACATCCTATCATACGACCTCGTATATATAATTTAAATTGGACTCACAAGCATGTACGATAAATTAGTAAATGTCCAACTAGTCTCTGGAGATATACAGGGAATTATGCTGGAAATTATCTTAACACAGAGAATCAAAATGATATGAATAAACCACGCGCCTATAATAAAATGTTAAAGTCAAAATATTAAATAATGTGTAAAAGAAAACTTTTTTCTTCTAAATCAAGTGAAACCTTTATAATACACCCAATTCGAATTCAAATTCGGCAAGGCATATTGGTCAAGACTTTTGACATAAGAGGTCGGTTTTTCCGCAATAATAAAACTCCTTGATCGACGTCTTGCCATGGCGAAAGTTGTTTTAATTTAAACTTAAATATGCATAAACTACACGTACGCAAGAGTTCATTTAGGAATAAGTCATTAAGCAATTGCTACAAGTAACTAACATATATAAACACTAGTGTGACCACTCCGTAAATCTTACCCAATAACAATTATTGTTCTTACAGGGGTATCCAGATTATTAGTGTTCTGACCAACAATGACAGATTATACAGTTATAGCTTGCATACAATTAGGATACCTGGCAGAGCAAAAAATTTAATGTGCCACATGGCATGCCAACGAACCTGTTTATACCGAACTCGGGTTATAACGAACCAGATCTGGCAGAACCGATTTTTTATAAGAATTTAGGCTGCCTATACCGAACTTATATATATAGTAAATTTTTATATACCGCATCCGAACCCTTCTTTACCAGCCCAAGACTATCGATATAACGATTTATTTGTTTGTACACAATACCGACTCCGGACTGGAGCGTGAAGTTCCGAGAATTCTCGAAGATATACTGACCCGTTGTGATCCTACACATGATTTCATTGGTTGGCGAACTGTTCAGTATAGAAAAAATAAACCATATAACGAACCCAATCTATACCGAGCAATTAAATTATATGAGTAAGAAAATTTGATATATTTAATTAAGATTAAAAACTGTCTTATAGCTAAAACTACATTTCAAAATTTTCAACTTAGAGATCGGAAACTAGTTGTCATACTGTAGTTATTTATACTTTTTGTTTACAATTTTTATATTTTTATATTATACAAAATTTTGTAATTTTATTGAATCCGGACCAAGAAATTAGAGTTGAAAATAATCTTTAGCCTAAAATTTTCTCGATATAAAGGTGCTCTATATACTGTATATGGCATGCCTAATACCTAGGGTTGTTAATGGAGTACTCCAAGCTATAATAAAACATATAAACCACTCCAGTTTTAAACTGAAGTGGTTTATATGTTTTATTATAGCTTGGAGTACTCCATTAACAACCCTATTTGGGATTTAGGTATGCCTTAATTGGCATGCTATAGTGGTATACAATAACTGCTATGCTAAACACTCTACAGTCAATCTTTTTTCTTCAAAAAATTCTATTTATTATATTAACCAAAAAAAATTTTACTGTAAAAAAATACAGTTTTTATTTTATTTACCATTTGTTACTATATACAGTACTTGAAAAAAGTACTTTATTAATTAAAAAACATTTTATATAGAGTAATAAATTACAATAAACATAAATTTAAGCTTATTTTAATTTATTTGAAAATAGTATAGTACTAGTTCTTTTTTAATATTTTTTATATTCTTATATAATGCAGGAAGTCTTAACTCACTAATATAATAAATGATCTTTAAAATTTATTAACTTTCTAAAAAATTAAAATTTTATTGTTTTTAAGACAAGCTCTACAAAATCACTGGTCAGATTTTAAAATCAATTTTTATAAAAAGTTAATAGCTTATTACAATATAAATATATAATAAATTTTCAATTTTTAAAATATATCAACATTTTAGTGAAATGATTTTAAAAAAAATATAAAGCTAATATAGCTTTATATAGTAATAGTATTTGATCAAACAAATGTTATCCAGTTATCTGACAGATAAATTTGCAAATTACTCAAATAATCAACAAATATATTTAGATATAAAATCTTACCTAATATAATTAGATAAAGTTATAGCTATTCTTATAAATTCTGAAAAATTTAGCAAAAGTTAATTGATTGAATATTTGCTAATTAGTAATAAATTTTTGATTCAGATGTAATTATTACTACTAAATCAAATTTATTAAATTGGCAAATATTCAATTAGTTAATTTTTGCTAAATTTTCAGAATTTATAAGAATAGTTATATAGTAATTACAGCTATTATTATAATTTCTGAAATATTTGTTCATTATCCAAAATCTTTTTAGTCATTTAGTAAATTACTTAGAAGGTTCAAAGATAGTAATATATTTTCTAAAAAGTTAAATAATTTACTGAATGACACAAAAGATTTCAGATAATAAGTATATGTCTCAGAAATTATAATAATAGCTATAAATAAAAATCTGTTAAATAATTTTTTAGTCATTCTAGTTAATTATTGTCAAAATGAAATTTTTTTGTTATTTAAGAAAAATTTAAAATTTTTTGTGTAATATTTTTTTTAGTATTAGAGGTAGGATTTAGGGTTAGGTTTATTAATAAATGAGTATATGTAGGTTTTATAGACTCTAAGGGTGGGTATAGTTTTATTTTGATTAGATTTCATTTTAATCTGTGACAATTATTAATTTTAATATGATCAAATCTTCTATACAACTATCAGGCTCTTTTTATATTTAACTTTGATAATTAAATCTGAATATTTAATTCAGGTATACTTATCTAGGTATTATCTAGATATATTTATCTAGATAGCTAAGTTTATATGGTAACTTGGATATCTGATTGTTTGCAAATAACCCAAATAATATCAACTCAGATATCATTACTAGCTTTATAAAGTTACCAGTTAAATTTCTTTAAACTTCTTAAATAAAAAGTTATAACTATTTAAAAAATTAAAATACTTACTTCTAATCAATAATTATTTTTTGCTATATAGACTAAGTACAATACATAGAAACAAAATATTATATATATTTTCTTTTGAACAGATGTGTAAATACTGCAAAGAAAAATTATAGTATGCATACTTGTAAATACAGTAGTTGCTTATATAAGTATAATGACTTAGTGAAGTGATAAGTTGTTATATTCCCAAGCAGCAGGACAAGAGTTTGAATTTCACTGATAATGAAATTTAAATTTTACAAAATATGTTATACAGTAACAGACTGTGTATAATCTGATAAATTAACAGATCTGTAGCTTTAGTTGCACTAACTTGTACTAGGAGGCTGTAAAATATTAATGTGATATATAAATTACATGAAATCTAAGTAAAGCAGCTAGATAAATCTAAGGCTTGAGGCACATGAAAACCTGCTTAGCAAGTCCTAAGTAGAAAGGTAGCACAAACTTTTGATAGTGCTACATAAAGAATTATTAACTAAGAAATCAGAAACCAAATAAGACCGAGATGTTTGGCAAAAGCACTACACCAATCAGGCTGTTAGGTAACTAGAAGAAGAGATCACTCTTCCAAGCTATCTGAATTGGAAGTTTGAAAAAACCAAAAAGACAATAAATAGTCCGTATAGTAGATGCTGAGATTGAGTGAACTTTACAAAGACTGAAGTAGATAATAGTAGCAGCTTAGACTCGCAAGTACTTGTCTTCAGACTTAGCATAAGTTATCAAAGTCTAAGTTAACTGTATTGTATATATAAAAAGCTCTAGCAACAATGTCTTAAAGATAAATTAGTTTTAAAGAAATAAAGAAAGCATCTGAGACTTTTTGGCTGACAAATATAACAGAAATGTACTAGTAATACAAGTGGGTCGCATTATAAAAGATTTAAATAAATAATTTTCTAGTTGGATTATAGATATTGCAAATAGTATAATCTTAATGGTGTAATACTAATATGCAGACTACTTAATTAAGCAACCAAAAGTTGCATATATAGTTAGGCCACACAAATTTATATAATTGGTTTTTATATCCCGGCTGGGTCAGTAAAGCGAGATTTGAAAATTTTTTTTTTTTAATATAGTTAACCAATCAAAATTTTTTATTCAATAATCATGTGATATCAGGTAGTATGTCATACGAACAAATGTCATCACGTCTATTCGAATATTCATTCGTTCAATCTTCTCTATTCACCAGAAAATTTCGAATGAATAAATATTCGAATATTCACTGAATTTTCATTAAATATATATTCGAATGTTCGAATATTCACTGAATATTTGAATATAATCAGACCTCTACATACAAAGCAATCAGAGAATATAGAATAACGATTTCGCAATGGCAAGGTAGAGTTGTTGATCAGCAAACATGAAGAATGAAAGCTAAGAAGAATGCCAAGATTTACCCTTCTTTGTTTCGTTTCAAGGTAACGAAACTGGATGATTAGGAAGATATATAGATTAAAAAAACGATCAAAAAAAACTGTGATTGGTTTAAGCCA